TGCTTGGCCTGCTATGTTCATCCAGCTCTACACCTTGTTATTTCAAATAGTTAGGTGTTTGTTTCAATTGGTGTGGACGCAAGAGGCTGAAGGGTGTTTTCTCTGTGATGTACATCTATCTCTATGACCATGGTTAGATGTTTCTGATACACCGGCCCTACACAAGGTATGGCAACCTGATCAGAAGCCAATCAAAATGCTGTCATCAAGCAGTTACCCCTTTTTGTTCTGTCTGCTTTAGCTCTCTCCGTTTCAGGAAAAGGCAACATTGGACACAACTCACAATGTACTCCAGTAAACACAACATTAAAAACTTTGGTTTGAAGCAGTATCATTTTTTATAGTCCACAATCTGAAATGAAGGAAATAAAAAGATATGGTCCCAACGCTTCCTGTTTATAACTTTTCCAAATGACCTTAGAATGTGAATATAAAAACAAATTGCAAAAGGGTGCTGGAAATCTGAAACAGAAGCGTAAAACACTGGACATACCCAACAGGTCTGTACAGAGAGGAACAGAGTTGCTGTTTCAGATTGATGACCTTTCGATGTTATAGATTTTAAAGCAGTGCAAAGTTAGGGATAGAGGGGGAGCGCATGAAGAAAAGGCAAGATCTATGATGTCGCCTTCAGGCTCTGCATTGAGTTAAGCGCTTTCAGGTCTTAACCATTAATCCCTGTATTTTGGCCAGAACATGCTGCTAATGATCTGACTCTTGTCATTTTCAGATTTCTAGACCTTTCTGGGTTCTGAAGAAGGGTCACTGAACTGTTTCACTCTCCACAGATGCAACCAGACCTGCTGAGTTTTTCCAGCAATTTCTGCTTTTGTTTCAGATTTCCAGCATCCACAGTTGTCTTGGGCTTTTTTTTAAAATCCCCTCTAAATATTCGATCTGTTTTGGATCTCTCTTTTTTAGCTTATATCATCCTGCCTGTCAGACATGGGTGTTGTAGTGTTTTGGTTGTGATACTGAAATAGTCATCCATCTGCCAGTGTGAATACACCCAACTGGAGACTTGAGCCTAAATCCCATCACTGCACCTGGGAAACCAGAATTCAAATAATGAAACAGAGCCCAGTGTGAGGAAAAGCGACCACAAGACTACCTTAAAAACACCCATCTAGTTCACTGATGTCCTTTGGGGAAGGAAAACTGCCGTTCTTATTCAGTCTGGCCTACATGTGACTCCAGCCCCATAGCAATGAGATTGACACTGAAGTGCCCTCTGTAATGGCCTATTCAGTTGGATTGAAGTAGGCAGCTCACCGTTACATTCTCAAGGGCAATTAGGGATGAGCAACGGATGCCAGCAACGCTCAGGGGCCATGAATGAAAAAAGTGGTCATCACTCCTGTCTTACTCACTAGCTCGGAGCTTCCCTCTTGCTCCTTACTTCCCTGCACCACTTACTAATACATAAAAAACACATCTACCTATTACCCTTCTTAACGTTTCCAGGTCAGCCTTCGAAACCTTATTGGTCTTGGTATCAATCAGTCCCACAAGCAAATTCCATTCTGCTTATCCACCAGGATTGATCCTGACTGCTTGCTACCCTATTGGTGTAGTAGGGTAACACAACGACTGGACAATAAGATCTTCCTGTGATCACAACTGGACTTGCATTCCACGCTTGCCCGTTCCATCCTTTCCTGGGGTGATTAGGGCAAACGGTGGGGGGAGCTGGAGAAAAACTATCAGAAGTTGTTCTTTCTCGGAGCAAGTGGAAGCATACAGTCATAGGAGGGCCCCGGCCATCATGGTACAACTTCTCTTCTGAAGAAGAGTCACCAGACTGTTTCTCTCCACACAGATGCCGCCAGGTCTGCTGTGTTTCTCCAGTAATTTCTGCTTTTGTTGCAGCACAAATTCCCTTCGCCTTATAATGCAAAGTGACACATACAGAACCCTTGCAGGGCTTGGGAGAGTCATCTTGTTTGTATGATGCAAAACACCTCCCCATAAACTTCACCCACCAGCTGCAGAGATTTTCCCTCTCAGCTTTCTATTCTAAAAATCCTTGCACCTTCATTTTTCCAAGATTCCAAGTCATGAGGGGACTTGAAGTAAAATAAAGAGAAACCAATTTCAATGTCTGAAAGATTGAGCACCAGGGGGCACAGGTTTACAGTGATGGATAAATTAAGCAGGAGCGCGATGGAGACAACATATTGCTGCCAGAGGTGTGTACGATTTGGAATACACTACCATGAGGGCCGATGGTATTGATCCAATCGTCACCTTCCAAAGGGGAGACTCAATCAACACTTGAAGGAAATAAATAATGCAGGAATGTGGAGAAAGAACCAGGGGATGACCCCCTTCTATGCTATTTTGTTCTGATCCTTCAAACTCAATTGGTTGCAACAGGCCAAAAACAAATGATGTTTTATTTAGAATCTTTAGGGCAGAGCTTCCCAACGTGAGGGTTGGGATGTCAGAAAGAAGCAACAAACTGAAATTGAGGTCGTAAGCTCTGAGTTAGTAATGGCCAATTCCCCTTCCCCTGCTGTCAAAGGGACTACGGCTTCTAGTGCAACCACCTCAAGATGCAGTGTGCACACACACACACGCGCGCGCACACACACACACACACACACACATACACACACACAGATGCAAATACCCAAAACACAGACCTACATATGCACAACAGATACACACAAAAAACTCAAACACAGGCACAAACATACATATCTACACTCACACTCACACAAATACACACAACTATTCACATATTCACACACTCACAGAAAAATACACACACAGAAACATACACACACAATTATTCACACACACAGAAACATACACAAACACAACTATTCAGACACACACACACACACTGACACAAACGTATATAAACACAACTATTTACACACACACATTGACA